GAGTCATGGTTTGTCCTCTGCCCCCCTTCCGAACAAGCGTCTCCGTTCTCCTAGTCGTTGGTGCACGCGCGGCAGCTGACGAGTCCTATTTCTGCTGAGCCTGTCCTCCCCTTTCCAGAGCAAAACCCACTGAAAACAGAAACCAAAGTGCAACTGCACTTACTGCCACTGATCAAGGCCATTTTAAGGAAAAACGATGTCTCGAAAAAAACCAACCCGAAGGGCAGTGTGTGTGTTACTAAAAAAGGGCTAAAGCAGCTGCATATTGAACGGTTTATTTCAGGTCTTTTCCAGGCCTGGACAGATGACCTGGTCTCCCTGGAAGGCTAGCAGACTTCCCTGCCGTTTCACAACTCGTTTTGCTTGCTTGTCTTTTGTTTTGAAAAGAGGATTTCTCTTTAAATAGCTTTTTAAAAGTGTATATAGCAGCAGTATGGTACAAAGACAGGTTTGTTTCACAGTACACACAGGTTAGTATTGCCACTGAAAAGATGCCTTGAACAAATGCCTTTAAAACCCCAACATCTGGTCTGTATTACTGCTCAGCCTGGAGTGTTCATAAACCTTTGCAAATCCAATACCTGGAATTTAAATACTAAAACTGGAAAGTGTTAAATATCATTCCAGAATTGGAATTACAGTAGCTCCCACATTCTCCCAGTGCTGGCGCTTTGCCAGGCAGGTGCATGCTGCTCTATATACAGGAAAAAAAAACCCCAAAGCAAACACGTTTTGTATTAAATATACATAAATAGTAGGACTGCAGACTGGAGAGCCATGCTTTGTAATACTGAGTCTGTGCCAGCAAAGTCCGTATCCTTCGCCAAACGTGGGGGCGGACGAGTCCTTCCCAGCCCGTCCACTGTGTAGCTGGGGTTTGGCAGGATGTGTCCCGACCCCAGCACCTGCTGCAGGCAGAGGGACGGCAGCCAGCACGCCAGGAGGGGGGATTCACAGCTTCTTCATTTTGTCTTTGTTTTTCTGGAGTTTAGTGTGCACCACTTTGAGAGTAGTGAGGAAGTTCCCAAGGAAGAGCAGCAGAAACGTGAACGCCAACACGAACACCTGAGAGGGGAGAAGGAGGGGAAAAAAAACCCCACACGAGATGAGAGCTGAGGGTACTGCTTTGGCCACACTGCAGCAAGCTCTGATGGGGCTTTGCTGGGCGGGGCCGGGGGGCGGTGAGCGACACAGAGGCACACAAATCCACATTCACGCATCCAGCGGTGTGGGTCAGCAGGAAATGTGCCATCATCATTTAAATAGCATTTACTACTTTTTAATATTACACCATGGATTATTTTCAACACTGCTGGACTCTGCCAGACAGTAAAATCAAATCATTTAGTCCAATCTAATGGATTAACGTCATGCTACGGGCACTTTCACTGAACAGCAGCGGCACAGGCGTGGGGGAATGACACGTTTCTGCAGGAAGCTGTGTAACCCCTGCACAAAGTGAGCACACGAGTTCCAGCAGCATCTGACCGAAATAAAGACCATCAGCTTATCCGCACATGGGATGCGCTCCAGTCTGGATCTACAGGAGCAGCGGTAGAGCTGGAAAATGGACAGACGTGTTGCATGGGTGATGGCAACTGAGAAAACACGAGGAAGGATCCCTAAAAGTGGGGCAATAAAGTGCATAATATGTTTTTAAAGTGACTCACTGCCATGGGGTTTTTGTCATCATCTTTTTGCAGGAGTAACCCACGGATCAGCCATAAAGATCCACCAGCAGCTCAGGAGCCACGGCTGTTAAATACCCGTACACACAAACTACATGGAGAGAGGTTTACCCACGTGTATTTTCTTCCCCCTACGCTCTCTGCCTTTCGGTTTGTGTGGTCACCCGTGGGTGCAAGCTTCCCTACTGTAACTCACGTTTAGTTTGAGTTCTCTTGTATAGGCCCTGTGCCACATCACCCTGAGATACTTAGATGGGGTCAGATGCCCAAATATCTTTAAGGATGTGGTTAAACACACCCCCCACCACCACTGCTTGTGCTTTTTCTGAGCAGAACCAACACCCACCTGCCATTCTTTGCACTCCTTATGCCTCGACAGTCCAAAAAGCGTGATTGCGTTATACAGCTGCCAGAACTAAAAAAGGAAAAAACCAGAAGCAGAGCTATTTCATGGCAAGGAAAAACTTTAAAACCATTTACCGCGGGGGTGCGTGACCTAGAGCACTTCCTATGGCGCGGCAGCCACAGACTCCCGAGGCCCCGCGCTGCAGGGGGAGGAATGGGATTGCCCAACTTACATGCCCAAAGAACAAGAAGGGAAGGAGAAACGTCAGCCCCCGCCACATCCAGGACTGAAATCCTTCTGGAAAAAGTTAACAGAAGAGGCACAGAGTGAACACAGAAGAGGCAGGACTGGAGCTGCAGCCCTTCCCACCCAGACCA